CGGGGGAGAGGGGGAGCGGGGGAGAGGACTCGTCAAGGACATCGAACGCAGCGAGACGCGAGGCCTTCGCGAGTCAAGAGACGACCCCCGCGCTCCGCCCGGCGTCTCGAACGAGTTACGCCCGCGCGCCGGACTCGCAACGAGTCGACAAGCGAACGCTGCAACGACAACGCCGGCGGGGCGCGGAGTTCGGGGTCGGGCGGAAGAGGCCGGGAACGGAACTGGAAACCGGAAACCGGAAACGTGTCTCCGGCAAATGCGCGACAATCCGCGAGCCGCGGCGCTCTATCCGTTCTCTCTTCACGCTTCGCTCGTCACACGTTTACTGACGACTCGTCTGTGGGCTGATGGCAAGATGGCCGCCATCGTGCAGCGCCCCCTTGCGGGAAGCGAGCGACCGGCGCCCCGGTGGCCGCACCACAACGACGCGGTGGCTTCGCTCAGCGGACCGGGGTAAGGAGGACACATCGGTAGATGGCTTGCAACGTGCCTGCCTAAAACATAACAAACATCAAGATTCCGATGTGTACGCACGCACGCACACGCACGCATGCACACGCACACACACACGCACGCACGCACTCACGCACGCACGCACGCACACATGCATGCACGCATCATATAACAAGTGCGCACGTTGACACTAGCGCACACGCATCCGCGTTTCCCGAAGAAAAAAAAACGATCTCCGACCGAAGACGCGCGTCGAAATCCTCATTACTCGGCGCCTTAATGAACGAATGAATTAATCGGACGAGAACGCCGCGACCGACACGACTTAACGAGAAACGAACAAACCAGGAAAGACCGGTACTACGCACGCGACGAAAAGCGACAACTTTTGAATCGTCACGACGACGATGCAACGCGCACGCGTCGTCGTGGTTACCTGCCGCTCCTCGAGCTGGTTGAAGACAAAGTCGATGACGACGTCGTCTTCGAATCCCAGGAGCTTGCAGACCTGCTGCGTGATCCACGGCTTGATGACGTCCAGTTTCACCTTACGCATGTCAATCTATAGCAACAATGATGCAGAGAGAGAGAGTTAGTGGAGAGTTCTGGGAGGGAGGGAGGGGAGGGAGGAGGCTTGGCAGGACCTGCTGCGTGATCCACGCTTGATCGACGTCCAGTTTCACTCTACGCATGTCAACTCTTATACGGCAACTGACAGCAGAAGCAGAGAGAGTTAGTGAGAGTAGCTGGAGGGAGGGAGGAAGGGGAGAGAGGGGAGGGAAGGGAGGGGGACGAGGGAAGAGACTCCGGAGGGAGAGGGAGGGAGGGAGGGGAGGAGGGAGGGGGAGAGGGAGGGCAGAGAGGAGATGAGAGATAGACGAGAGAGAGAGAGAGAGAGAGAGAGAGAGAGAGAGAAGAGGAGAGAGAGAGAGCAGAGAGAAGAGAGAGAGAGGAGAGAGAGAGAGAGAGAGAGAGTTTGAGAGATGGGAGGGGGAATGAGAGAGAGGGAAGAGAGAGAGAGAGACGGAGAAGAGGGGAGAGAGTTTGAGTAGATAGGCGAGGGGGGAGAAGAGAGAGGAGAGAGAGAGAGAGAGAGAGAGAGAGAGAGAGAGAGAGGAGAGAGGAGAGAGCAGAGAGAGAGAGAGAGAGAAGAGAGAGAGAGAGAGAGAGAGAGAGAGAGAGAGAGAGAGAGAGAGAGTAGAGAGAGAGAGAAGAGAGAGAGAGAGAGTAGAGAGAGAGAGATAGAGAGAGAGAGAGAGAGAGAAGAGAGAGAGAGAGAGAGAGAGAGTAAAGAAGAGGAGAACGAAAGCAAGGAAGGAAGAGGAG